ATAAAAACCATTCTAGGTATTTCAACAGAGTTTTGTTTTGTTTTTTCATTTCTTTTTTCTCCCCCAAGGCCCCCACCCTACCTTAGGAACTACCAGAGTTCATCAAAGTAACCACAACCTACTGCTAATGAAATTTTATGAAAAATACATTTCACCCTCAGTCAAAAGATCTGGGCTTGATTCCCAACTTTGTCATTATAGTAGCTGTATCGCCTAGGAGAAATTATACACTTGGGTCCTTACTTCGTTTGACTGTAAAGTGAAACTAATAACATATCAGGTCTTCATAATTGAATGTTATTTTTCAGTCTTAAAATAAAAATTTGTTCACATGCTTCCATTGTACTTAAAGTAAGCCTTTACCTAAAACTTTATAACAAGTCACAATGTTTATTCATCCTCTTTGTAAAACATTTCTCAATAACAACAACCTTGTTTATTTGTTTGCTTGTTCACTTGTTATGTTAACATCAAACACACTAGAATATTAAATGCATGAGGGTCAACAGAGGAGATTTAATAGACGAAATTGGTTACCCAGGTGATGGAAGAATAAACAGCTGTACTTCATATAACAAAAGTAAGTACCAGTCATAATATTAGGACTATGAGCAGCAGTAGGGAGCTCTATCAGCCCTAGGACTGGAGGAAAGAAAGGAGCTGGGGTTCATAGAGCTCAGGAGCTACCTGGTGGAACATGGAACCATGACAGTGACCAGAAGTTGGGACAGTGGAGGACTCAGGAGATGGTACAGATCAAAGACAGGGAGGGAAACACTCTGATTATACCTTTCTTTCTGCTTCCCTTCCGTCTTTTACCATCAATTCCCATTGGCCAGGTCTATCTAAATGGCAGAGTTAGGGTACCTGGGAACTAGAGTCTCCCCTTTACAATGAAACAATAGTTTGCCTAGGTGTATAAGTCTAAGTAAAACAATCATTTGGAACTTTGAAGACATTACCAGCTTTTTGTCTTTTCCTTTTAGAACGTTCAGACAATTATCATGTCTCTTGAAGCTAAATTCCCATTTTTTAACTTATCGTTGATATTTTTCTATCTTTATCCTTTGAATATTATTTCAGAGAGATTTCCTAGACCATATCTTCCAGATCACTACTATAATTATATCTGTTCTAAAATTGCTTTTTTATGTTTTTTAAAAAAATCACCTTTACTAAGATATATATACTCATTTTAGGTATACAGTTCAATGAGTTTTGATAAATGTATACAACCAGAATATTTTTTTAGATGCATTCATGCTGGACTTCTGTTGGTAGCCTGCTCCTTTTTGTTGGTGAGTCGTATTCCATTGTATGAATATACCACCATTTGTTGATTCATTCACCTGTTGCTGGACATTTGGATTGTTTTCAGTTTGGGACTGTTATAAAGATGCTGTGAACATTCATGCCTTTGTGTGGACATGTGTTATCATCATCTTCTGTAAATGCCTAGAAGTAGATGGCTGGTCATATAAGTGAATAATTTTGTAACAAACTGCCAAAATGTTTTCCAAAGTGGTTGTGCCATTTCATATTCCCACTAGCAGTGCATAACCGTTCCAGTTGCTCTATAGCCTCACCAACACTTGGTATTATCGGTGTTTTTAATTGTAGTCATTCTATTGGTGGGCAGTGGTATCTAACTGAGGTTTGAACTTGTAATTTGATGAAGAACAGTGATGATGAGTATCTTTCAAGACACACAGAACGGATACTGCTGCTCAGTTAAGTTCTGTGACAAAGTACTTGACTACTCACTGCATGTTAAGCACTATGCCCAGGAAATTATTTAAGCCTTCGTTCTCTTTGAATTGTGAGGATTGTCTTTACTCCTCTTTTTCAGATAATCTTATTTTCCCCCTAAACTGACATTATTAAGTGTGGTAGTCAGTATAATTTCTCACCCCAGGATACCCATGCCTGAACGCCCAGAAACTATGAATGCATAAGGTTATATGGCAAATAAGGAATTAATGTTGCTCATCAGCTGACCTTAAAATGGGGAGAGTATCCTGAACTACTCAAGTGGGCTAAACTTACAAGGGTCTTTTAAGAGTAGAAGAGGGGACAGAAGGGGAAGTCAGGGGGATGCAGCATGGGAAGGACACAGCCAATGATGCTGGTTTTGAAGATGGAGGAATGGAGATGTGAGTCAAGGAAAGTGAGCAGGCTCTAGGAACTGGAAAACTGGGGGAAACAGATTTTCCCTTAGAGCTCTAGAAGGAGGTGCAGCCTTGAATAACCTTGATTTTAGCCCAGTGAGACTCACTTCAGTTGTCAGACTTCCAGAGCTTTAAGATAATAAATTTGTGTTGTTTTGGCCCCCAGGTTTCCAGTAATTTGTTACAGTAACAATAGAAAATTAATACATTAAGGTAAATCACTTGCTGTGAGCATTACTACCCACTGAACAATCAGATGACAAACCACCTGGGCTTTTGTCTCAACCCTTTATCCCTACTCCCACTTTCCTTTTGGCTGCTTCATTAATATGACCATTAAGATATGGGCAGATATCCTGCCGGGTGTGGCTCAGTGGTTGAGCGTCGACCTAGGTAGGATCCAGGCGATTGGGGTTCGATTCCTGGTCAGGGCACATGCCTGGGTTGTGGGCTCGATCCCCAGTCGGGGGCGCGCAGGAGGCAGCTGATCAATGACTCTCATCATTGATGTTTCTCTCTCTCTCTTTCTCCCCTCTCTCTGAAATCAATAAAGATATATTTAAAAAAAAAAAAAGAAGATATGGGCAGAGAGACTCTAAACTCATTGAGTCTGGTATGTTCAATTTTCTGTTGTACTAGCACTGCTTCAAGAGGATAGCTTGACGCCAAGGGTAAGTCTGACCAGGGGTTAGGGGTGGTTTCAGTTACTCAGGCTTTCCCCCACTTTAAGTAGTGATAGTTTCCTGTTTGCATTTCAGGAAAAAATAGAAACAAGATAGCAGGTGCATTAAGGTTTGTGATCACACTACTGACATCCAATTTTTTTTGAAATTGTGGTTATGGTTAGTTCAGTTTTAGCTAAGGATAAAGCATCTGAAGGAAGACCAATGCAAGCCTTTCACCATGGGAATACACTGTGCATCATGGGAGTGTGCTCAGTAGATGTACTAGTTTGTTAGGGCTGCCATAACAAAGTACCACTGGGAGGCCTAAGCAATAGAAATTTATTTTCTCACAGTTCTGGAGGTAAATTCCAAGATCACAGTGTCATTGGGGTTGGCTTCTTTTGAGGTCTCTCTCCTTGGTTTGTAGATGGCTGCCTTCCTCTTACGTCTTCACATGGTCTTCCCTCGGTCTATGTGTTCTCTAGGCCCTAATCTCTTTTTTATTTTTTAAAATATTACAGATGTCCCTTTTTCTCCCCAATGACTCATTCCACCCCATTCCTTCCCCTCCCCAGTCCCTCTCCACACCATTGTCGGTGTCCTTGGGTTGTGCATATATGGGTATAAATTCTTTGGTTAATCTCTCCCCCT